GGACCATGGCGGCGCACATATGTGGATGGGGGGAGAGTGCCAGGGCGTCCGCCTCGAGTCACAGCACCACCAGAACCGGAAGGTCCTCCAGCAGGGGCGCTGCCAGCACCACCTCCACCGGCACCACGGCCACCATGGCCACCACTACCACCACCGCCACCACCACGGCCTCCACCACCACCGCCACCACCACGGCTTCCGCCGCCGCCGTAGCGACCACCCTGGTTGCGCGGCTGCGTAGCGTTGAGGGAGGTGGAGGAGGAGGACTGAGGGGTGGTAAGGTTGACAACGGGGGTACGAAGCTTGACCTCCGTGACAATGATCCACTGGACCACGTCGTCGAGGCTGGCCATGGGGTTGGCCTCAGTGAAGGCATGGAGGCGGGACTCGTAGTCCGGGGTGAGGTTGTAGAGGAGGCGGTGGATTTGCAGAGGCTCAGGGAGGGCAGCTTGGCGTGCCGCAAGGCGATCAGCGACCTCCTGCATGCGCCCCACGTAGTCAACTGCGCCATCACAAGTGGCGAGGGTGATGGAGAAGTACTCCTGGAACAGAGCGCCGACAGAGCTGATGTCGCGACGCTCGAACATCGCCTGGAGCTCGGCCCAGATGAGGGAGGCGCGCATCTCGCGAGCTTGGAAACGGCGCATGAGGGTACCAGGGAGTGCGCCGAGGAGGATGGTGCAGGCGCGGTTGTCAGCAGTGGCCCACGCGATGCTCCGAGGGAGGTAGTCCGCCATGGCCGTATTGTATTCATCAAGGAGCGCCAGGCGATTGGCGCGTTCCGCTACCGCGAAGTCGTGGTTGTGTACCGCAACCTCACGCTCCGCCTTGCGGATGAGGTATTCGCGGCGATCGTGGAGGAATGCGGCATTGGCTGCATCCTGGAGCGCTGGGGTAGTGGCGATCTCCAAGGTGGGTTCAGTAGGAGGAGGACCAGGAGGAATGGGGGGTGGAGGGGGTTCGCCGGGGTGATTGGGTGCCGTAGGCTGGAGGGCTTGCGGGCGGCGGAGGAGGACGTCGATGACGCAGTAGGGTCCGACGAATGCATCTTGGAGAACACGGCAGATACTCCCAACGAAGGAATGCCAATTAATCGCCGAGCGGTCCGCGGCAAGCTGAAGCTTGTCGACGGAGGAGGCGTCAATGGGAGGAGGGAGAGGGGGAGGAGTGGTAGCCATGAGGGGCGACGGCGGGTGGATCCGCGGCGGCCTAGAGGTGGGCGGCGGCGGGTGGACCCGCGGCGATCAAGGGGGGAGGGCGACGGCGGGTCGACACGCGGCAGCCGAGAGGGAGGAGGGCGGGGGGGGGGGAAGGGGGGGGGGGGTGCTGCTGCGGGGAGTGGAGGTCTTCTTCGGCTGCTGCTGCTGCTGCCGCTGCTGCCGTTGCTGGCGATGCTGCTGCTACTGCCGCTGCTGAGAGAGGAGAGGGGGGGGGGGGGGGGGGGGGGGAAGGGGAGGAGGGGGGGAGGAAGATGGTGGATGCAGCTGTTTCCGTTGCTGCCGCCGCTGCCGCTGCTGCAGCTGATGCCGCTGCTGCTGCTGAGAGGGAGGAGAGGGGGGGGGGGGGGGGAGGGGAGGAGGGGGGAGGAAGATGGTGGATGCAGCTGCTGCCGCTGCTGCTGCCGCTGCCGCTGCTGCCGCTGTTGCTGTTGTGGCTGCTGAGGTGTCTCGGCTGCTGCTGCGTGGGAGGAGAGGAAGAGGAAAGGGGGAGTGGGAGGAAGAACGCAGGTGTAGGTGTGGGCGGGGCTGTTGCTCCAATGACGCTGCTGCTGAGGGATGAGGCGGCTGCTACGAGGAAGGCGCGGCGGCAAAAATGCGCGGGTGGCGACGAGTAGGTCGCGGCGGTAAGATGCGGGGGCGGCGATTTTTAGGTCGCGGCAACGGGTCGCGCGGGCGGCGACTTTAGGTCGCGGCGGCAAGGGGTGCAGATGGCGACGCGAAGTTGCGGCGGCAGGTCGCGCAGGTGGCGACAAGAAGGTCGCGGCAGCGGGATGCGTAGGCGGCGACGCGAAGTCGCGGCGGAGGATCGTGCAGGCGGCGACGAGCGAGTCGCGGCGGCGGGATGCTTAGGTGGCGACAGGGGGGGTCGCGGCGATGGGGAGTGCAGGCGGCGACGCGAAGTCGCGGCGACGGGACGGGAGGCGACGACGGGGCGTCGCGACGGCGGGATGCGCAGGCGGCGCCGGGGAAGGCGCGGCGGCGGTAGGGGGAGGCGGCGACGTGACGTCGCGGCAGTGGGAAGGGCAGGCGACGACGGGGTGTCGCGGCGGAGGGATGCGCAGGCGGCGCCGAGGAAGACGCGGCGGCAGTAGGGGGAGGCGGCGACGCGACGTCGCGGCAGCGGGAGGGGCAGGCGACGACGGGGTGTCGCGGCGGAGGGATGCGCGGGCGACGCCGAAGTAGGCGCGGCGGCGGTAGGGGGAGGCGGCGATGCGACGTCGCGGCAGCGGGAGGGGCAGGCGACGACGGGGTGTCGCGGCGGAGGGAGGAGGAGGCGGCGACAAGGCGTCGCGGCGGGATGCGCAGGCGGCGCCAGAGAAGGCGCGGCGGCGGGAAAAAAGAAAGTGGGGGGGGGGGGGGGGCGGGGGGCAGCGACAGTGTGTCGCGGCGACGGGGGGGGATGATGCACTTGCGTAGGTCGTGCCAAGGAGGTGCTAGGTTGAGCCACACGTAGGGGGTTTGTGGCTGTGGGGTGGGCCCATGGGGAAGAAAAACTTTGAGGGAGAGAAAAGGCTTAGGAACAACTAGCTCTATACCATGTGAAGATTGTGAATTGAACAAGTAATTAGATTAGAGAGGCAACCTAGCATACATAGTTGGAAGGGAACGTTGGAAGGGAAGGATGGAAGGGAAGGATCAAAGGGACCATAGGTTGGGTTGACCTCACTTGGGGGGATGAGGGAACCATAGGTCAAGTGGGTTGGGTTGCCCATACTTTGTAGAAGTGAGGCAACCCTAGGCCCACTTGGCTTTGGGGAACCTCATTTGTGGGAAGTGAGGTACCCACAAGTCAAGAGGGTTGCATTTGGGGGCTCCACCACAATTGGGTGGATTGGCACCCCAAAGTGCAAGACTACACCCAAAGTTGGGTGTAGTCCAAACCCAACTGTACACCACAATTGGTGTACAGTCACATGTGTTGGCATGCTACAATATATATTTTAACACGGTGGCCTCGCTACTAAGTTTCCCGGCTATAGCTGTACTAGTGAGTGCGAGAAGGTGAGCGAAGATGTCTGGATTTCCGAGCGCGGCGTCACGAATGTGCTCGAAGGTAGTTCCTGAGGGCCCTGCTCCCACCCCGTTTGGGAGTTTGGGGATGATGCGCCTGAAGTCGCACAGCTCAATCGTAGGGGTGTTCTCGGGGGAGAAGGTGCGTATCCAATCCGGTAGGGGCTGGAGGGCTTGCGGGTGTCGAGCTGCCAAAGCCGCGTACACTTCGGGGGAGGCAGGTGAGACCGGGGTGGCTTGGAGGGACTAGAGTGACTTGGCCAAGTTGCCACTCTTGGCCAGTCCCTCCGCTCTGGCAAGGATGCCCTGAGTGTCGGGTATGTGACGTGGCTGGGCTGGGAGGGAGATTGCTTCTACCGCCTCGTCATACAGGCCAGACCAGAATCCCTGGCGAAAACGGAGGAGGTGATTCATCATCGCGTTCCAGTTAGGTTTGCGAGCTGACGAGGTGCGTAGGAGAATTCGCGGGAGGAAAGTGCGAGGGGCGGCTGGCGACTGTCGCGCAGTGGGTCCAGGTCCCAACCTGCGACTTGCGCGAAAAGGTCCAGGCGTTTCGCCAGGTCGCCTGGGTGGATCATGGGTGGAGTTGGGGTTGGGGTTGCAGTGTTCCTATTGGTTGCGGCAGAGTCAAATGTGATTGCTACGAAACACTGGAAACAGAATGAACTAATGAGGAAAGGAGACCCCCACGAGACACTTATATAGCTTGGGGGCAAGGGACAGAGGCTAAGTGACGGTAGGGAGGTCGGAGAGAAGGGAGCAGGGAGGAAGTGACCCGTGCAGACAGATGTGCAGCGGACATGGCAGCGGATACCTGTGCACCCGCACGTGTAAACAGAAGTATTTTGAGACGTCTCAAAACATGTGTAAACAGAAGTGTTTTGAGACGTCTCAAATCACGTGTAAACAGAAGTGTTTTGAGATGTCTCAAAACACGTGTAAACAGAAGTGTTTTGAGTCGTCTCAAAACACGTGTGAACAGAAGTGTTTTGAGTCGTCTCAAAACACTTCTGTTTACACGTGGGATGTGCAGCGGACATGGCAGCGGATACCTGTGCACCAGCATCAGTAACATCGGCCAGATGAGAATCGTCAGCAGCAGCACCAGGCACAGCAGCAGCAGCAGCAGCAGCAGCACTAGGCGCAACAGCAGCAGAGGGGTCATGTGGAGAAGCAGGGCAGTGCGGAGCACCGCTGGTGCATGTGGATGTGCGCTTTGCGTGCAGCCTACACGTGTGCTACCCTCTGCTGCTCACTGCACTGTCACGGGCAGTGCAGGGGGTTGGGCTTGAGACTTTGACCAGCTTGCAACCAGACTGGCTGAACGAGGGGAACAAGGGAATTGGCGGAAATCAGGGGGCTGAGGTACAGCAGCAGCACCAGCAGGGTGGTGCATCACTGAAGTCTCCAGTGTGCATGTGCATGCCTCTGCTCGCCTGGACCGCTCACCCTGCAGGCTGCACCCTTTGCATGACGTCCCTGCTACTGCCAGCGGGACCCGCTTGGCAGGATACACTCTCAGCTGCTATCGCTGCTGCAGAAGCTGCCTCTGCACAAGCCTCAGCAGGGCTGGCTGAAGCCGGTGCAGCCCCAGGCACAGGAGGAGAGGGGGGAGGTAGGGGGGCAGAGATGGATGTGGGAGAGGCAGCAGCTGGTGGCGCCAGCAGCACCACACGTGGCAGGCATGGCAGGAGCGGCAGCAGCAGCAGCAGCGGGGGCGGTGGCAGTGGCAGTGGTAGCAGCCTACGATTGGGAGTCTGCATGGGAGGGATGCGTGGCTCTGCGTCCGCGCTCTCTCTCTCTTCCCTCTGGCGCTGGTCAGGGCAGCAAGGGAGCGGCAGGAGGGGCAGCAGCGGGGTTTGGTCGCCTCAAGGGGCGTATGAGATGCAGGGGGACGGCAGCACGGGCAGCACTTGCAGCGAGGGGAGCGGGCGTGGCGGATTCAGCTGGGGGAGAGGAGGCTTCTCAGTGTGGGAGGAGGAGGAAATGGGGGTCGAACGGAGAGAAAGGGGAGGAAATGCGTTGGAATCACAGAAAGAGGAGACACCTGCGGCAGCACCAGGTACTGGCGCCGCGGGACGTGTGGAACCAAATTCGACTGACATGGCTGCTGCTGCCGCTGCCTGTGCAGCTGTTGCTGATGGTAATGCTGCTCCCGGCACTGCCCCCTCCACGTATGGAGAACCTCCTGTTGCTACTGCTGCAGGCACAGCAGCGTCCTCCAGTAGTGTACAGAGAAGGGCCCCCCTGTCCTTCCTAGGCAGGGGCAGTTCCAGCTGGTCTTCCCGCACAGGCAATAGCAGCAATCATCAGCAGCAGCGTGAGCATCGGTAGCAGCAGCAGTAGAGCTTCAGTGGTAGCTGGGGTGTTGGAAATATCAGCAGCAAAAGCTGTGGCAGTAGCAGCGGCAGTTGCAGCAGCAGCATTGGCGGCACTGGTGGCGCGAGCGAGTTTGCATCTGCAAGCGATAGCAAAAAGGGGGAGTGGGCCAAGGCGTCAGGAGATGCTGCAGACGTGGCAGCAGTGGCTGTGACAGCTGGAGCGGTAGCAGCATCAGCAGTCGCACTCCCAGAATCTGCTCTGGCAGTGTCCACGTCCCCCTGTGTGCCTCAGGAACTGCCTGCATTAGCAATAAACACCCTGGTGGGTGACGGGGTAGTGGATACCAGACAGGGCCGTGTGGGCGATGTAGGTGTAGCGCCGGCAGGAGCTGTGGTGGGCGGGGGGCGTAGGTGTGAGGTTAGCAAGAGGGAGGGCGGAGATGGGGATGCTTCTTCACTGCAGTATGGGTGTAGTGAGAGTGGTGCTGCTGGTCCTGCAGGGTGGATGAGTGGTGGTGCAGGTGCAGGTGGGCAGGCTGGGAGTGGGAAAGGAGGGGAAAAGGGAGGGGGAGAGGTGGGGGTGGGGGTTCCAGGAGCAGTTAGGACGTCTGCAGATGCAGCCAAAGGGTTGAAATCAGCAGCGGTTGGAGCAGCACCAGTGGGAGGAGCAGCAGTGCTTGGTGCATGTGATCCGGATGGGGGAAATGGAGCAATCCTGGGCAGGGAGGGCAACAGGAGCGAACTTGGTGAGTTCACATCCATGGGCAAAGGCAACTATCTCAAATCCTTGTGTGGTGCTGATTCGTGTGACAGTGCAGACACATGCTCACACACGACTCTGGCTGTCTGCACTCTCCCTGCTGCATGTGGCTCTTCCATTCTGCAACCCCACTGCACCTAGCTGCATCCCACTTCTCCTATTCGAGAGGCAGGAACGTGTGTGGGGAGGAAAGGGATTGCCACAGGTTGCTTTCCTCCTGCTTGCTGCTCGTCTGCTGCTGTTGCTCTTGTGTCTGCTAATGCTGCTGCTGCAGCTGCAAATCACTGGCGCTATCACTCTCATGCCTTGCTTCTCCTACTACCGCTACTGCTGTTGCTTCACTTGGTGCTGAGATCACAGGCGTGTCGAGCCCCAGCATCACCAGCAGCAGCTGTGCAACAGCGCGGGCAGAGTTCCGGTGGGAAGTGATGGCGATGGTGTCGTGTGGGCAGCGGTGCCCGCAGCTGCTGCGCTTCTACGGCGTGTGTGTGGATGTGCGGCGCCGCATGTGCATCGTCACCAAGCTCATGCTGGGCGGCACTCTGCACGACCTGCTGAGGAGGCGCAACGGCGTGGGCCTGCCGCTGCCGCTGCTGCTGCGAGTGGCGATGGACATTGCGTTGGGGATGCGCTTCCTGCACCGCCATGGGATCATTCACCGGTGAGTGGGAGTGATGAATGGGCATGAGTGGGGTGTGTGTGTGGTGGTGAGGAGAGGGGAGGGGGGGGATAAGTGGGCGGGTGTCTGGTCTTGGCTGGGGTCACTCGTAGTTCGCTCGGTCGAGTACTAATTTGTTCCCTCGATCTTGTGGCTCCTGGCTCATCAATGGATTCTGTTCCCCCTCCCCACCCATTACACGTTCCAACCCACCTCATCCGAGCTTCCGCTTCCCCACTCTCTCCACTTCCCCTCCCCTCTTCCCTCTTCTCTCACACATCACCCAGTCCTACAACCAACCCTGCTATCTTCCACTCCCCTTTCTCCAGCGACCTCAAGACGGCCAATGTGTTACTGGACGAGCAAGGCCGGGCAGTGGTGGGGGACTTTGGAGTGGTGCGGCTGGTGGGAGACGGAGCGGAGATGACCAAGTAGGTGGGCACATACCGCTGGATGGCCCCTGAGGCCTTTGGCACCACGGGGCACTGGTCCGTCACCCCTCCCAGCGATGTCTACAGTTTCGGGATTGTTCTATGGGAGCTGCTGACTGTGCGGTTACCCTACGAGAGTTACTCGCCGCTGCAGGCTGCAGTGGCGATGGCGCTGAATGGGCTGCGGCCGGCGATACCAGCGGGGTGCCCTGAGGGGCTCAGGCGGCTGATTGAGACGTGCTGGGCCAGGGACCCTGCAGAGAGGCCTGACTCAGAGGATGTGGTACGCGTGGTGCGAGGATTGAGGTAGGAGTTGCTGGGGGAGGAGAGTGTGGAGGACGAGGAGGAGGCTAGTGGGGGGGATGGGGAGCAGGTTGTGAGTGGTAGGGAATGAATGCATGGCATGATGCGGAGGAGAGGAGATTAGGAGCAAGAAGGCATCTGAGGAAGCAGAAGTACCATAAATGGGGAAGGCCGGTCGGTACATGGTAACCACAGTACCACAACCCTTCCACCACCACCCACCAGGCATATACTTGGCTTGGTGGAATTCACAGGGAGCTTGTCCGCTCTGCACGTTCTCTCTCATCTGGAGAATCTTCAAAGCCTGTAAGCTCGATTCCGGTGCGCTGGGAGCCGGTGCTGCCTTGATGCGTGAGCTCGTGTAGTTCAAAGCAGTCAGTGCGTGAACTGACTTTCTGGTCGTCTCTTATAGCCTTGGTAGTAGTGTTGACTCTCATTATGCTTTGGTAGTAGTGTTGACTCTCATTGTGCCTTGATAGTAGTGTTGACTCTCATTGTGCCTTGATAGAAGTGTTGACTCTCATTGTGCCTTGGTAGTAGTGTTGACTCTCATTGTGCCTTGATAGTAGTGTTGACTCTCATTGTGCCTTGATAGAAGTGTTGACTCTCATTGTGCCTTGGTAGTAGTGTTGACTCTCATTGTGCCTTGATAGAAGTGTTGACTCTCATTGTGCCTTGGTAGTAGTGTTGACTCTCATTGTGCCTTGATAGTAGTGTTGACTCTCATTGTGCCTTGATAGAAGTGTTGACTCTCATTGTGCCTTGATAGTAGTGTTGACTCTCATTGTGCCTTGATTGTAGTGTTGACTCTCATTGTGCCTTGGTAGTAGCGTTGACTCTCATTGTGCCTTGGTAGTAGTGCTGACTCTCATTGTGCCTTGATAGTAGTATTGACTCTCATTGTGCCTTGATAGTAGTGTTGACTCTCATTGTGCCTTGATAGTAGTGTTGACTCTCTTTGTGCCTTGATAGTAGTGCTGACTCTCATTGTGCCTTGGTAGTAGTGCTGACTCTCATTGTGCCTTGGTGGTGTTGACTCTCATTGTGCCTTGGTGGTGTTGACTCTCATTGTGCCTTGGTGGTGTTGACTCTTCTCCATGTGTGTGCATGTGCATGTGCGCAAGACACTCAGTTCGCTCACCAATGCCACGGGGGAGATACCCAGGGAGATCCGATACCTCACAGCCCTCACTGCACTTTGAGTCAGATGCATACGGGTCCAAGAGTAGTTCATATGAAGCATGCTTGTTCATGTGCACGAGCAGGGTTTCACTGACGGGCCCTCTACCTTGACGTTCTTCCTGTGCCGTCCCCTTGCCATCCCAGTGCATTCTCCCCTGTAGTGACTTGTCGTTCCTGCGAGCCTTGGAATTCCCTGCCTGGGTGACTCGCCTCTACAACCTTCAGTGCCTGTGAGCCATTGCCATTGCCACACACCTACCACCCTTGCTGCTGCACACACGACGCACCGGCTGGAACCATGCATGCCATGGGCGTGGTCTCTCCTTGTTCAAGTGTGGGAAGTTTTGCAAGCATGCCCTTGTCCCAAATCCCTAGACTTCATGCCCTTGTCCCCCCGACTGCCGCTGTTCCTGTTCTCTTGTCCCCTTGCCATTGTCCCCCTGCCCTTGACCCCCTGCCCATGCAGCAACGTGAACGGGGATGAACCGCGGCAGCAGGGGCTGTTGTCTGATGACATCTCGCACCTCACCGCACTCACCAGCCTGTGAGTGCAGCATGCAAAATTCGCAACCTTAAGTCACATCACTAGATATGATGCAAAGGCCCAAGCATTTCGTTGTGCAAGTGTGGGAATGGCTAGGCTCATTGGGTGCGGTACTGGTGCGGCCCTGGTTCAGGGTCAGAGGGGGGATCCAAGGACCGCACCAAGTGGTTCAGGGCAGGTATAAAATGTTTTTTCTTTGTCCTGGTGGGCCCATTTGCTTCCAGGCCATCCAACCATCGAATGGTTGGTGGCGGGAGGAGGTTTGACGATCTGCGAAGGAAAAACAAACCTTAGCCTTGAAACCACGCGGAGGGGGCATGAAAATAGCGCGAGCCTTCAAATTTTTTGATGCGCGCCGAGCCTCCTGTCGCACAGCTGATGCGGTGCTGTGCTGCTCCCCCATCATTTAGCCGATGGGCAACAGATTAGGGCCCAGATTGTTCCCCCCCAATTTTCCCACCAACAGTATCGCCCGAGTATTGCCTCCCCGTTTGCCAGTGCAACACCTCAAATGTCCGATGCATGAAGGGCAAAGAAGGGTGGGTGGGACTGGAAGCAGCAGAGTGAGAAAGGGCGAGTATGTTGGGATGAGAAAATAGGTCTTGTTTGCGGCCGCCCTGGAGCGGGTCTATTGCTAGTCTGACCAGATTTAGTTGCATGGACCAGAGGTGTTTTGCAACGATGCTCGGCAGGGATTGCGTGGATGTGTTGTGTGGAACGCAGGAAATCATTCTCCCAAAAGATGTCATGTACGACATCTAAGAACTTGAGAATTCTTTAGAGCAATTGTAAATAAAAATATTGATGGGACACTCTTATTGGATGACATGATAGTTAATGTAGATATAGAGGGAGAACCCCTATTTGGTGTTGTTACAATAAGAAATTAATACAAACATTCTTGCACAGCAACAAAACCACTACCAACGACGAAGACCAAGGGTCGAGATGGAGCGACCAAGGTTGACATGTAGAAGTCAAGGCCCACACCTGGTTTTGTTTCCAATCATTTCAGCTAAACAAAATTAAGTGTCATATAAATGCACCCGGCCGGGTGGGTGGTTTATCTGGGGGATTACGATGTCTTTAATCAAAACACCAAATAACAACTTGTGGAATTTGAGAAATTTCAACATGACAAAAACAATCAGTGCCTCCTTGTTGGCTGTAACGTTGTAATGAGTTTATCACACAACAGCTTGAATGAGGTCTAATTCTTCATCCAAGCTTAGGTGTATGTTGTTTGCACCCATCCTCTCCTCATCCTCCGCATCCACTTTCACTGCCGGACGCACCTCCTCCTTTCCCCCAACTTCATTCCTGACTGCTTGCAGCTCATTGGCAACATCTCCCATTGTCGGGCGGTTTGCCGTGCGTGCCACCGTGCAACTGATTGCCAGCTGAGTGAGGTGCAGCAACACCTCCGCTGGGGCGTCCATACCGGGGCTCTTCAGACCCGTCAAATCCCCCTTTGACAGGCACTCCTCCACCTAAAGCGTGCAGACGTTTAGAAAGGGATTGGGAGGGGAGCAGTTGAGAGTGAGTGTATGGCAAGTGGCCGAACCTCGAACAGACCATGGTGCCCAAAGCTGACAGGCCTTGAAAGTGAGAGCACAAATCCGGTGGAGGCGGCAGCGGCGGCGGCGGTGGCGGTGGTGGTGGTGGCGGCGGCGGCGGTGGCGGCGGCGGCGGTGGTGGCGGCGGCGGTGGTGGCGGTGGTGGTGGTGGTGGCGGCGGCGGCGGCGGCGGCGGTGGTGGTGGTGGCGGTTGCGGTGGTGGCGGTGGCGGTGGTGGTGCTCACCCAAGGTAGGACGTGCATGCTTCCCTCCGCAGTCTCAGCATGGTGGGTACGACTAGTGAGTACCACCAGGATGAGCACTCCAAAGCTGCAGATAGGGAGAGGGGGGGAGATGTTATTGCCAACAACATGGTGAGGCATCATAACAGCAAGGCTTGAATTCATCTCAAGACGTTCAACATAACATGCTTGCAAAAAGAGGAGATCCTACATTTTGAATGAAAGACCTTGATCTTTTGCCAACCATGCTTCCCCTTCGTCTTTTTCCCTCTACAGCGCGAAATGCGAGCACATATGATTGACGAGCAAATGCATGCACAAGTTTTTTGACTTTTATGATGAACTTACGAACATCGCCCCAGATTCCCTCAAGTACCTGTAAACATCAGTGGCTGTGGTTGCCTTATTTGTCCTAGAGTAAACAGGGTCCACATAGCCCGGTGTTCTCATTACTCGCGTAGAACCCACTGTCGTGCCCTCTCCCACTCTCACCAATCCAAAATCTGCTAGCTTGGCCTGGTGGGTACAGAGTTTACCAAGTCGAAATATGTAGGATAGTGATTGGATGGGGGTATACTCCAGCCTGCAGAGCACAAAGGAAGCTGATTGCACATTCAAACCATTAGGAAGAAAAGTACTATCCACGCGTTTGTGCATTCCATTTACTATTATAGGACATATTTGAACGTCATACATCCCAATTTTCAGTGTGTTAAGGTTCATAGGAGAGGGATCTGGACAGCTGAAAGTAGACATGAGATTTTTGAACGCTTGTACGGTTCGACTCGAACACGTTGAAACCTTTTTTTTTTTGCCAAAAATGTTGTTTTTTCAGCCTCAAATTTGTTTTGTTCGAATTGAGTAAAAACAGACTCACATGAACAATCATGGTTGCATGGACTAGGGTTTACGAAGATGGCTGCACTAGTGAGAATTTGAACTCGATGCCATGATGCACGCTTTCTCGGTTGGCCCGTGATTTACTACGTGATTGAGGTGCCTTGAAACTTAGTCGACTTATGATAAACTGAAATGTAATACAATGGACAGAATGCCATTTTTTTGTTCTTCTTACTCTTGTTTTTTTTCTTCTCCTTTTTGGCTTGCGGATTTGTATTGCGATGCACACTATCTCGGGTTTTTATCATCCAAAACGCTGCTGTCATAATTCAAGTCCTTTTTTCATTGTTGAGGGCTTGCAATTATACTCTTCTTGCCTGCATGTCAGCAGTGATGAGGATGTTGGCGGGTTTGATGTCGCGATGCACGAAGTCAAAGCTGTGGAGATACTCCAAGCCCCGCGCTGCCCCAATTAGGATGCCCAGCCGCTGCGGCAGGGTCAAAGTGAAGGGTGCCTCTGCAGGAGGAAGACAGCATCAGGACAGGTGGGAATGAGCACAGATCATGTTGCTCGTGGCATTAGGTACAGGGTATTAGTCACATGGCATTAATCACGTGGCACATGGCTCATGACATGTTATGGAACAGTCACCATGAGGACACACAAGGTAGACGCACTTGTAGGGTCCAGCCACCGATCGAGGTCACCGTTGGTTGGGTACAAACTCGTAGATGAGAACCTGCTCTGGCCGCGTCCTCACAAGAGCCATTTGCAATCACAAGCACAAGAGGCATCAAACATGGACTCACTTGTTGGATCCAGCCACTCCTCGAGGTCACCGTTAGGTACAAACTCGTAGATGAGAACCTGCTCTGGCCGCGTCCTCATGTCTCCCCCCACTGCAAACCCAAGCAGCCGCACAATGTTGGGATGGTTCTTGTCCGCCATTTGCTGGACCTGCCGGGCATGAAGGAAGGGCATGCATTAGATAACAAGCATACAACGAATACACTGATGACAAGTATGCAGCAGCACCGCGCACAGCACACACTGATATGCGTTCAAGTAGCAGATTTCTGAATCAAGATGGAACATAACACGACAAGATTCCACACATGCATATGTATAAATCTAGATGTGGATGTATACACAGTAAACCCAATTATTCAACGAGTCACTCACCTCCCGCTGGAAGTCAACATCTATCAGCTTGGCACGCTTCACAGCCCATTGTGTGATGCCATCTCGTGGCGACACTCCCTTGTACACGACACCAAAGGCCCCCGAGCCCAGCTCGTTGGCTGTGGACCAGCTGTTGGTGGCCGATTCGACCTCAGCGAGAGAAGTCTCAATGCTGTGTAAAGCTGCGAAACTGCCAGCCGTGGCTGCTTGTGGGACGAGGGTTGAGGGTGAGGGGCGAGGGGTGAGTGAGGGGCGACGGGTGAGTGAGAGGTGAGGGGTGAGTGAGGGGTGAGGGGTGAGGCTGATGGCTCAATGTCTGAGAGGTCTGAACAGATTCCATTGGCACCCCCCACCCCCCACCCCTCTCCCCCCAACACACACATCACGAAATACAACAGAACCACATCGATTAATAAAATTCTTTACCAGTTTTGCGTGTTTTTGCTTACAATAGTGTCCGTGAGAACAAGATTCCAACCTCTATCTATTGGAGGTCGCGGCTAAAGTCAATGGGACCCCCTTATCCCACTCATCTCTTCCCACTTAACCTTTTCATATGTACCTTTTCCTCTATCAATGCTTCCTTCCCACCTGTTGATTTCCGAATCGCCTCAAAACTTACTCAGGAGCCTCCCAAGAATCAGAGCACGTTGTCAAATTGCTATTTGGTATGTGCCCGCTCCTCTCATCTTTTGCTTGCTTCCTTTCCAAAGGACCTTCTGGCTGTATGCCTTCTTTGCCTTAGGCACTTATAGCCACCAATTTATATCGTCAACAATGGTACAACGTTCCTTCCCACCTGACGGCTTGTGCCGGAGGTAGAGCAGCACAGCAACCAGCAGCAGCACCAGCAGAAGCACGGCAGCAACACTTATACCAATGATTGTCGCCAACGGTAAGCCACCGCTGCTACCGCTGCTGCTGCTGTTGCTGCTGTTGCTGCTGCTGCTGCTGCTGCTGCTGCTGCTGGTGTTGGGGCTCGCTGCCGATGGGGTGGGTGGGGTTGGGGAGACAGCTGCCAGCAGCCCAAAGAAACAGGCTCAGAAAGTTCACATGAGTTGAGGTCACTTGGGTGAGGTTTGGGCCGGCAGTTGCACTTGAGAAATCTCAAAAGAACGTCTGGAGAAACAAGGTTAAGAAAGTCTTGTAACCTAGGCGAATGATTGATGCAATCACTCAACCTAGGCAGCTTAGAGCTATTGAAGTTAAATGGGCAAGTGACAGAATGTGCTGTTTCTTTTGTTCGTAGAATCTTTGTTAATGCAATGATGCAGTGCGCTGAACTCACATGTAGAATCTACGCAGGTTGTGCAAAAGGAACTGCACTCTAGGCAAAAGGCGGTCACAGGATTTTGCTTCGTGACACAGCTGGTTTCGTCGGCTGGACATGTGAGGTTGGTGCCCGATATAGTGCTGCCATGGAGAGGAGAGCAAGAACAGACAAGCCATGGCTTTTGAAATGTTGGATAGGCATGGTTACCTTCCCAGGCACGGTAGTAGATTCCAAGAACAGAACAAACGCATCTTGGTATAAAAGCTAACAAGTTTTGCAAGTAGAGAAGGCTTCCAGTGGATGGTGGAATGGTCCCCGAAAGGTTATTCGTGTGGAGATTCCTTTACTCACACATGCAAGCACAACATGAGGTGAAGTGGAGAAACACTTTTGAGTCGACTCAGAAGGAGAGAGAACCGGAAAGAGCCAAGAACTTGCTGAAAGGTAATGCCCTTATTCTGAATGACAAAGGTGATGCATGCATGTGTGTGATGACGGTTTCTTTTTAGCTGCGCACGCTGCCATCGCCAATGCTGGATGTGTGGCAAGGCCACGCACCATGCGGTGGACAACAATAAACAACTTACAATATTTCCAGGTACAACAATGACAAGCAAAAGCTTACAATATTATGCACATTAAGTATGTTCTTCCACATGCAGTTTAGGCTGGCCCTGTTTGACTACACCTCCCGGTTCGACCAGGTTTGGCCTGAACCGGTTCGAGTACAGTACTTGCTCGTGCCTGCTTACAGGCGTTCCAGGTTTCTAAGGGTGCCGATTGCAGCAGGGATTGAGCCAGTGAGCTGATTGTACTGAAGATATCTGCAACGATGAACACGAATGGCATTATCCTTGGAGCTGATGATTGCACAACGAGAATGGAAAGGAGCAAGCAACTCCTTTAGGAGGAAAAATTGCAGATGTTGCAACAGAGGCATGAAATGCTGAGCAATGGACTTTGTTTGTGAGATGTGTGCTGCCAATGGCAGGAGATACAAAGGGACCTGAAGTGAGGAAAGACGTGTTCCGTGCTTTCTCTAAGGCACCTCGCAATTTGCGCAAGGAAAAGGAAGACAAAAGGGAAAGACACTATAGCAGCAAAAAACAACACCCCAACCTAGACATGAGCATGAACCAAACCTGAACAGGTTCGGCCAAGCCTTGTCAAACTTCTTTCCTAGTCAAAACAACCCTTCTAGTTTCAAACAAACAAAAACATGCAATGGAGAGGTTCAAGATCTGGAGGTTCAAGATGTGGAGGTTCAAGATCTGGAAGGAGGTCAGAATCGACCCAAACACGAACAGGTTCTGTTCAACTACCAAAATCGCCGATGTCGGGTCACGGGAGCAACAGGGTCACGTTTGGACCTGGCCTCTCTCTCACGGCCTGGTTGCCTGCTCCCCATGATGTGGCCATATTGAACCTAATATCAAAGAACAGCCCCTAATTGCCTTTAAGAGCCCTACACGCCTAAGTCATGCAGATGGAGCTAAACCCTGAACGGAATGCTGTAAAATGAACTCGCCCTAAAATGAACCTTCAACTTCACCCCACACCCATATGCAAGTGGGTAGGTGCGTGGTTTGCTTGGGTGGGTACGAGGTGTTGCCTAAGAGGTAAGGTGATGCGTCAAACTGCTCGACCGAGTTGATACGGTTTGGGACGAACGTTTTTTGCAAAGGTGATGCCTATGAGGTAAGGTGATGCCTACGAGGTAAGGTGATGCCTACGAGGTAAGGTGATGCCTCAAACTATTACGGTTCGGCACGAACGTTTTTTGCTAAGGAAAGGTCTGGTTCGATCTGTGGAGAAACTCGTTCAGTCAAACCGAATTGAAGTCATGTTCGATGCTTATCTCCATCCCGACCTTACCCAATTGTGAGCCAAAAACTCAACATTCCGTTTAGGGTTCAATCACTTCAGCTGATCTCACCAATTGAAGATTTCAGCCTGTTTGAGATCGGTCTACCCATTCATTTCGAGCCGTTTCTGATGTACCTTGAGCTCATTATTTATTTCATAGAATTTACCTCAATGTTTTACACACTATACCCAATCTATATAGCTGATATGCAGGATACAAAGTGGAAGAGAAGTGCAGAAAGGGAAACACAGCCAAGAAAAGGGGCTTACATGTAATTCATGTTTGAAAGGTTGCCTATTGCAGTGGGAATTGCACCAGAGAGCTGATTGCTCGAAAGATCTCTGCCACGATGGGCGTGAACGGCATGCGGTACATACAAGAAACTCAGGTTTGCATGGCAACGAGCAGCAGGTAGGAAGAAGTAACTACAATCATAATGGGAGGCAAAATCCCTGAAATTGCAAACAAGTCGAGAATGGCAGAGTGATGGAGAACGTCCACAGGAAGTGTGCTGATAACGGCAGGGGATAGATGAGGGCAGGAAAAGTGTGGAAAGTTGTACTATATGTCTGCGCGAAGGCGTCAACCACGTATAGAACGGCTACGGGGAATTGAGCATGTGAAGGGCGAGCATAGAGACAACATTTGATGGAAACGCTTCAGCAGCCCGTGCCCCCCTCCGTACGTGCGTTTGCCCCTATCCTAGCAGCTTGCGGGACCCTCCTTGGGTGCGCACACCTTGCGCTGGGCCTTGGCCTGACCCCGCCTGGCCCGACCCCGACCAGCATATGGTTGCATGGCCGAGGGCCGGCTTTCTTGCCATGCCGGCCCGACCAGGGCCAGGTAGGGGAAGGGGCGAACACGAACGTGTTCTCGTTTGCCCCTGCACGAACACCTTTTGGAAATAAAGGTGTTCAGTGTTCACGCAGGGACAACCTTCGTTCACCTGTGAAGGCGAACACCTTGCTGGCAGTGGCGAACACGAACGTGTTCGTAACAAACACGTTCGTGTTCGCCCAGGGACAACCTTCACTACAGTCACACATGGCAAACAGGGAAATTGGCCCTCCCAGATGTTTGGTAGGGGAGTTACAGGTGTTGTGGTGGAGTACTGTGGTGTTCCATCTATTACTCTACTGTGTACCCTAAAAAGTTATATTATGGAGAAGTGATGCTCTTATTACTCCTTCGTAAGGGCGGTAGTGGGCTTTAGGGGGCTGGCGCCCCACCGTCCACCCGCAACTTGTGTACAAGCCCCATGTCGTGTGCCCCACCGTCCACCCGCCCCAAAGCTTCTCATACGTCCCACAACCCTTCCACCACCACCCGCCAGGCATATACTTGGCTTGGTGGAATTCACAGGGAGCTTGTCCGCTCTGCACGTTCTCTCTCATCTGGAGAATCTTCAAAGCCTGTAAGCTCGATTCCGGTGCGCTGGGAGCCGGTGCTGCCTTGATGTGTCAGCTTGTGTAGTTCAAAGCAGTCAGTGCGTGAACTGACTTTCTGGTCGTCTCTTATAGCCTTGGTAGTAGTGTTGACTCTCATTATGCTTTGGTAGTAGTGCTGACTCTCATTGTGCCTTGGTAGTAGTGTTGACTCTCACTGTGCCTTGGTAGCAATGCTGACTCTCCTCGTGCCTTGGTGGTGTTGACTCTCATT